GTGTGTGTGTGTGTGAGAAATAAGTCACAGGTATTTAATGCAAGCCCAATACTGATAAATCTCCTTTCCTCCAGGTGTCTGAAGAAGTATCGCATGCTGAGCTACATTGTGGCAATAGGCCTGGAGGGGCTCTGCTGTATGTTTATCCCCCTCCTTCACTCCTTCTCCCTCCTGGTCCCATTTTCCATATTCTACGGGTACTTTGACGGGGCGTATGTTGCGCTCATCCCAGTGGTGACCTCTGATGTGGTTGGCTCCACCTACCTGACCTCCGCTCTGGGTGTGGTCTACTTCCTACATGCTATCCCCTACCTGGTCAGCCCACCAATAGGAGGTAAGTCTTCATGAATTTATTACTCTAAGTACTCCAGTGTTTGAAGGTGTCTTGCTGTCCTACACATGATTTCCTGCCCATTTCACCCTACAGGATTGTTTTTTTTTTTAAAACACCTTTCTGTTTCTCTGTCTTTAGGTTGGTTAGTTGACAGTACAGGAAATTACACAGCCACCTTCTTCCTCAGCGGGGCTTCCTTCATGTTCAGCTCTGTGGTTCTAGCATCTGCCCTGTTAGTCAGACGCTGCCAGAGGTCCAAGTCTAACTCAACTGCACATTTAAGTCCCAATCACATTACTCCTGCTGCATCTCAGCAGGGCATCATATGACAGTGCCACTCAAGATGCCGCTCCTCCATCTGCACAGAAGTGCACCTCCCCATGATGTGCATCATACGACGCCTATCTGTTTTGAACTTAAGATTCAGAGTTCAGGCTCAACAAGAGCCGTGCCCAGAAGAACCTGTGCTGTTTTATTTTTAAGGAAGCAATGTTGTGACTTTGAGATGCACAGATTAAGTTATAATGACTTGTTATTTCTGTTGTTTAATGTGGATATTTTGTTTTCTAAAACCAAAATGCTTTCTTACTTAAAGGGCCAGTGTTTAATATTTAGGAGAATTATTTGGCAGAAATGCAATTTAATATTCACATTTATGTTTTCAATAATGTATAATCACTTTACATTGGCCATTTTTTACTAAGCCATTAGATGGGGGGGCAGAGAAAACTCAAAGGATAATTTAAGAAATTGACTGATAAAAAAATCCAACTGGAATTGCCTGTTACAGTGTCTTTTTGTAACTGTTTAGTTAGTTGCACCCTGTAGTTAAATCCTGTAGGACCGTCAGAAACAAAAAGCCACATTTGCATGGCGGTGTCCGGGTTTGTGCTGTATTAATGAATACAGTAGTAGTGACACGTAACCTGGAAAATGTCTTTATTCACCAACTTACAACACAAACCACCTTTCTAAGACACGTGTGAGAGATGCGTAATGGATAAAAATAACCCAAGAAATAAAAGATGACTTGAATGAGCCCATTAATGGCCTGTTTGAGTCATGCTCCTAAGGATCTCTGAAAAAAAATTCCTCTTTCCATATTGTGAATAATAAATGTGTATAATTTTGACTTATTGTAATAATTATTTGACCTACTTTTACATTTTTCATCACATCCTGTCCGACCAAATTATCGTACATATCATTGATGGGGTCTTAGATTTTCTTCAATGATTTTAGTTCATGTAGAAGGGTCTCTACCACCCCACATACATAGCAGTAGACTCAGTCATTTAGGCAATGTGCGCAGTGTATGTCCCGCCTAAGGACAGCGCAACGTGGAACAGTGGACTCGCTGCTCACACCAGGTGGATTCACACATTGGACGCGCTGATTTTTTCTTCAGTTCAAATTCTTTACCATCACTGATGGTTCACCAAGACTTGGAGTAGAAGAGCACCACGTCTGTGAGGACATGGACATGGTAATTTAACTATGCTTTTAATATATGCTTTATTTTTACAGTTACCTTGCCTGTAAAATTATACTGGTCCGATGTAACGTAGTTAATGGCTTTATTTGCTGTCTGTGCTGAAAGTGTCATTATGGCAAGCCAAGTTAGCTCTCCTTACAGGACACTGTTTTTTTATTGCAGCCAATGGAGCTCCCTCTACTGGCTTTTACATAGAATGCAGGTTTAAGACACTTTTTGGCTTCACTTCACAGACCCAGAAGCTCTGTCCATTATATATACTCTCAATG